AGGCATATTTAAAGACAACTGTTGTTGTTAAATAAAACTGCTGCTGTTTTTGTTGTTGTTAGGTGCCACTGAGTCAGTTTGTTTTCTTTATATAGTGAAGGCTGGAATCTTCTTGACCTGCATTAGTAAATATTTTAAATCCTCTTCACTTCCAGCAAGCAAGTTTGTGTCATCTGTACATCATAGGTTGTTAATGAGTCTTCTTCCAATCCTAATGCCATGTTCTTCTTCATATCATCCAGCCTCTAGAACTATTTTATTAGCATACAGGTTAAATAATTGTGATGAAATGATACAACCCTGGTGCACACCTTTCCTGATTTCAAACCATTGAGTATCTCCTTATTCCATTCTAACAACAGCCTCTTGGTCTATGTACAGGTTCCTTATGAACACAATTAAGTGTTCTGGAGCACTTATACTTCACAATGATATCCATAGTTTGTCATGATTCACACATCAAAAGCCTTTGCATAGTTAATAAACCACTTCCGTTATTCTCTGCTTTAAGCCAAGGTTCATTTGATGTCCACAATGATATCTCTAGTTCCATGTCCTTCTCTGAATCCAGCCTAAATTTCTGGCAGTTGTCTGTGGATGTTGTGTTGCAACTGTTTTGAATTATCTTCAGCAAAATTTTACTTGCATACGATATTAATGATATTGTTTTATGATTTCTATATTCTGTTGGATCACCTCTCCTTGAAATGGGCACAAATATGGATCTCCTCCAGTTGGTTGGTCAGCTAGCTGTTTTCCAAATTTCTTGGTATAGATGAGTGAGTGCATCCAGTGCTGCATCAGTTTGTTGAATGGTTTACATTTGTATTCTGTCAAATTCCTGTAGCTTTGTTAGGAAGGACCAGTCACTGGAGAAGAATATCATGTTTGGTAAGGTGGAGGGTCAGAGAAAAAGAGGAAGACCCCCAGTGAGTTGGATTGGCCAAGTGGCAGCATGGCTTACAGTAGTGAGGTTGGCCCAGGATAAGACAGTATTTCCTTCTGCTGTGCATAAGGTCGCTATGGGTTGGTACCAACTCGATGGCAGTTAACAAAAAAACAATGACTCTGGGTATTCCTTACATCTTCTTTTGATGTTTCCTGCACCATTCAAGATTTTGTCTATGTTGTTGTTGTTATTGTTAAGTGCCACACAAGGATTCCATTTTGCCCAAATAATCCTTCAATATCACAAGTAAAAACTTGATTTTTTTCTTTGGTTCTTTCAGACTGAGAACTACTGAGCATGTTCTTCCCTTTTGATTTTCTAATTCCAGATCTTTGCACATTTCATTATAATTCTCAAATTTTTCTTTTTGAACTGCATTTTGAAATTTTCTTTTAGCACTTTTACTTCCCCATATCTTCTATTCACTTTAGCTTCTTTCTCTATGCTCAAGAGCAAGTTTCATAGTCTCTTCTGACGTTCATCTTGGTATTTTCTTTCTTTCTTGTCTTTTTCATGACCTTTTGCTTTCTTCCTGTATGATGTTATTGATGTCATCCCACAATTCTGGTCTTTGGTCACTATTGTCTAATGCATCAAATATGTTCTTGAAATGGTCTCTAAATTAATGTCGGATATATTCATTTTTTGGTTCTCATGGTCTTGGTTTAATTTTCTCCAGTTTCAACCTGAACTTGCATATGAACAATTGATGTTCCACAGACTGTTCCACAGTGTGCCCATGCCCTTGTTTTGACCAATGATTTTGAGCTTTTCCTCCATCTCTTCCCACAGATACAGTCACTTTGATTCATGTGTATTCTATCTGGTTAAATCCATGTGTATATTGTTTAAAAAAGGTATTTGCAATAAAGAAGTTGTTGGTCTGGCAAAATTCTGTCATGTGATTTCCAGAATCATTTCTATCACCAAGACTGTATTTGTCAAGTACTGATTCTTCCTCAGCTTCCAATCTTTGCTTTCCAACCACCAGTAATAATCAATGCATCTTTATTGCATGTTTGATCATTTTTCAGACCACAGAAGTTGGTAGAATTCTTCAATTTATCATCAGTGGCTTTAATTATTGGAGTAAATTTGAATAATAGTGGTATTAACGGGCCTAGATATTATCCTATTACAGACAGCATTATATTTCAATATAAATTTTCTTTTTGACAATGACTGTAACACCATTCCTCTTGAATTTGTTGTTCCTGGAATAGTAAACCACGTGATTGCCTGAGTCAGAATGGCCAATACCAGTCCATTTGAGCTCATTAATGCTTAGAATATCGATGCTTACCTGTTCCATTTCATTTTTGACAATGTCCAGCTTTCCTAGATTCATGCTTTGTACATTTCATGTTCCAATTATAAGTGGATGTTTACAGCTGTTTCTCCTCATTTTGAATTGTGCCCCATTAGCCAGTGAAGTTCCTGAAAACTTTGCTCTATTTGCATCATATGGTCAACTCTGCTTTGAGGAAACTGCCTGTCGTATTTGGAGTATCTTCCAACCTGAGAGGATTGTCTTCACACCATGTATCTGAAAATTTTGCTGTTATTCATAAGGTTTCCAGTGCTTAAACATCTCCTTCTTCCTGATAGTCTGGAAGCTCCATGGAAACCTGTCTACCATGGGTGACCCTGCTTGTATTTAAAATATTGGTGGCATAGCTTTCAGCATAATAGTACATGCAAGCCACATAGTAGGACAAACTGACAGAGGAGTTTGGGATTCTAAATCCTAGGCCTGTTTAAATACAAATAGGACAGGAATCAAATCCTCATCATGGAAAAGATAATGAGATGATACTACAAAGTATCTTGATAGCTGAATGTTAATTGTTCCTTGTGCAAATGACCTTCAAGGTTCAACTGGCTTAGTTATGTTATTCCATTTCATTCTTTCTGCTCCCTGTCTTCAATGATGCATAGGGAAATAGGGCTCAGTGGTAAAAAGGAAAAACTTCTCAAGGATGATTGGTAAAAATAAGATAGAAATAAAATTAATCATTCAAAAAAAATTTTAAACAACCTCAATCTTAAATGCTGCTGACATAGTTTATGTACAACGAAACACAGCATGTGACTTAGTTCTTGGGTTTGAAGGTTTAGTGTATGGTGTCATAAAACATCCCAGTGAATTGATCTAAAAATATCTTTAGTGCTTTGTTCTAATTCCTCCTTCATAGTTCATGGGGTCTTATAAGCATTTAAGAGGTCATTCAACGTACAATAGTAGGTTTCTATTTTCCTGGAGCAATATGAGAGGAACGAGAGCCAGAACCAGGAGGAAGAAATGCGTGTCTACATAATGGACTCCAAAAGCATGGGCCTCCTTTGCCAGGAAACAAGAACTGGATTATGTCTGAACATTACTGATCATTTTGATCAAAGATTCTATAGAAGTATCCGGATCCAAAGGGAAAACTACAGAACAGAAATTCAATTTCTTATGGAATCTAGGTTTTTTAGAGCGTTGGAGGACTGCTTAATCCCTGAAACTTTTACCCTGAAGATAATCGTTAAACTCTAAACCAAAAATAGCTCCTGCAATGTTTTTAAAGCCAAGTCATCATTTAGCTTAACTTGAACATTGTGCTCTTTTAGGACCTGTACATATGGAATCAAATTGACCGCGGTGACTAAAAGATTAGATAGCAACCTTACCAGGCAACTTTGTCATTGTTGTTGTTTGGTGTCATTGAGTTGGTTCCAACTCGTAGTATCCTATGCACAACAGAACAAAACACTGCACAGTCCTTCACAATCCTCACAATCATTGGTAAACTTGAGCCCATTGATGCTTCCACTGTGCCAATCCATCTTCTTGGGGGTCTTCCTCTTTTTCACTGACCCTCCACTTTACCTACCATGATGTTCTTCTTTACGGACTGGTCCCTCCTGATAATATTCGAAATAAAAGAGACAAAGTCTTGGAGTTCTGACTTTTAAGGAGCATTCTTGTACTTCTTCCAACACAGACTTTTTTGTTCTTCTAGCAGTTCATGATACTTTTAATATTATTCTCCACACTACAGTTCAAATGCATCAATTCTTCTACAGTCTTCCTTATTCACTGTCCAACTTTCACATGCATATGAAGCTATTGAAAATGCCATGGCTTGGGTTAGGTGCACCTTAGTCCTCAAACTTACACCTTTGTTCAGGAACACTTTAAAAAGGTCTTGTGAAGCAGATTTGCCTAATACAATACATCGTTTGATTTCTTGATTGCTGTTTTTATATGAGTGATAATAGTGAATGCAAACAAAATGAAGTTTTTGACAACTTCAATCTTTTCTTCATTTATCATGGTGCTATTTATTGGTCTAGTGGTGAGGATTTTTGTTTTTTTTTATTTTGAAAAGAAACATACCTAAGGCTGTGGTATTAGACCTTCATCAGTAAGTATCTTAAGTTCTTTTCATTTTCAGAAAGCAAGGTTGTATCATCTGCATATCACAGGTTGTTAATGAGTCTCCCTCCAGTCCTGATGCCACATTGTTCTTCAATTAATCTGGTTTCTCAGATGATTTGTTCAGTGTACAGATTGAACAAGTATGGTGAAAGAATACAACCCTGGTGCACACCTTTCATAATTTTAAACCATTCACTGCTCCCCTTGTTAATGGGGAGGAACAACTCAGAAAATGAGGGTGACGACTATTACACAGCTAGAAGAATGTGTAATATTAAATATCACTGGATTGTACACATAGAAACTGTTTAGTTTGTGTTGGGTTTGCTATATATATATATTTGACAATAACTACAACAACAAACATAAAATAACTAATAAAAAAGAAACTGAATAAATGTATATATAACAAATCATTCCCAATCTTCTTCATAATCTGACTTTTGGAAATTTAGCTTGTAATAACTATGGTCTTACAGGCACTTCCCATAAGCTAAATATGCATTTTTAGTGAAGTTCTGTGACTGAAAACTTCTGTCACTGCAATGAATGTTGGAATGGATAGGTTCATTCAAACTATTAATGCATAGGAATTTATCAGTCTTAACACATGCATTCTTCTTGCAGATGGTTGAAAAGGAAGGTTATCTTCAAAAAGCTAAAATTGCAGATGGAGGAAAGAAACTAAGGTAATAAAAGTTCCTTAATTCAGTTTTATATAACTATACTAGTTGCTTGTACTCTCAACTTGTGTCACTGCTCTTATAAGTTCCTAGGGTATAGGACTAGTCTCCCTTGTTATTACGATGATGAATACTGTTCTTATTAGAATTATAGAGTTTTCAAAGAAAGTTCTACATTCTACGTTGAGCCGAATTTATGCATGAAGCGATTTGTTTTTTTTCTCCTGAGCCTTGAAATCTAAAAAAAAAATTGACAAGTAAATGAGATTAAGGGTCCTGATTCTGCTTGGGAGACCTAATGGACTCTGTCAGTACATAAAAAAAATACTTACGTTTCATTATAAACATAATTTTTGAAGGGTGGATTTGAGATTTATTTGTAAAAAATGCAATTGTCAGATAAGAGTTGGAAGTTACTTCATTTTGAGTAGAAATAAACACAAGGTTGTTGTTGAGGCTAGCTGCTGTCAAATTGGCTCATGACTCATGGAGACCCCCTGTACAAAGAAATCCAACCATCATCCATTGTGGTCCATAGGGTTTTCATTACCAGACCTAGCTTCCTAATCTACATTAGTTGGAAGCTCCAACAAAGCCTATTAAAAGTCAAAACAACAGCAAACCTCCACTCTGGTGGCTGTGCTTTGAGTTACATTGCCTGGAAGTAATGAATGTGAGATAAAAATTCTACCATTGAACTATCACTGTTCCCAGTGAACACAAGATAGGCAAAGGAAAATAGACAAGGGAATAAGAACATCCTAGACTACAACAACCAAAACCTGAAAAAAAAAACACCAAAAAGCAGATTGATAGGAGGACAGAATGAGGTGATGGTCATGTTGTACATATGGGGTATTTAGAAATAAATTAATTGAATAATAATCTACCCTTTTAATTTTTGCTAATGTAGTTTTTATATTTTAGGCCTATTCCATATTGTATTTCTACACAACTAATATGTGCCTTCTATGTTTATTTGCCAACTGCTCCCTGCCCCCATGGGTATTTTTATAAGTACTGCTATGCCTTTTTATTGATTGATTTTTACATGTAGAACAAAAAATTAGCATAGCACATTTACAAAAATACCTCCTTCTGGGGGGAGGGAGTGATTGGCAAAAAATATAGAAATCCTATACAATTTCTGTTAGAATCTGGTACTTATCTTTTTGCTAAGCTGTGAAATTCAAGCTACAGAGGTATATAGAAATATTTCAAATTGGGAGACAAAGCATTTATTCATGAATTCATTACTAACAGTAAAAACCATATAGGATAAATGTACTAATTAACTCTACAATGGGACACCTGTTAATTGTATAATGTAGTTCATTAATAGAATGACACTCTGGCCAACACCAGACAATAAAGTATTCTTTTATTTGCTAGCTGTAATGAGATATGTATATATTTATTTAAAACATCTAAAACTGAGGAATAATGCATCTAACATTTCACTGCTCAAAGTAGCTATTTTAATCTTAAATAACAAATTCTATTTTCTGCCCATATTTAGTTTTTTTAGAGGAGAGTGTGTAAGGCTTCTGAATTCTGTCCTACACTGTTCCCTGCAGGGGTCACACAGCCTCCCTCCCTTAAAATGTCCAAGAGAGATTCACAGGAGGCAAGATCATATCCAAGACTGCTTTAAGAGCCTGGGCTGTTGTTAAGTGTCATTGAGGCGATTCCAACTCATAGAAACTCTGTGTATGGTTTCCAAGGAGCTACTGGTGGGTTTGAACTGCCAACTTTGTGGTTATCAATCCTGTGCTTATCCTACAGCACCATATCAGGACTCCATGCTTTGGAAGAAATGCTTATAGGTCTACTTACAAAAAATTAGCTGTTGAAACTATTATGGAGCACAGTTCTACTCCAACACATAGGTATTGCCATGAGTCATAAACAGCAACTGGTAAAATCGATCTAAGAATTCCTCTTAACACAGAGGCCAAGTTCAGAAGTGTAGGCTGTTGTTAAGTGTTGTTGAGTCGATTCCAACTCATAGCGACATTGCATGTGGTTTCCAAGGAGTGGCTGGTGAGTTTGAACTACTGACCTTGCAGTTCAAACTGACCTTGCTGTCCAGTGCTTGTCCTACAGCACTATACCATTACCCACCAAAAGCTGAACTGGGCCTCAGTGTCAAGATGATTTCTTGGATTTGATTTTTATTTTAAGTTTTGTTGTGAATTGAGTGATAGTTTACATGAGAGAACATCAGTTTTACACTCATCCTATCGTATTTTGTTCCATTGTAATGATATAATTGTATTTGATTTTACTAGTTACTAATTATGATTCACGGGTGATCCCTTATGTGTCAGAGTACAAGTGTACTCCATTGAATTTTCAATGGCTGATTTTTTGGAAGCAGATCTTCAGGCATTTCTTTCAAAGCATCCTTAGCAGCCAACTATGCTAACAGTTAATAACATTCAGAGTGAAAAAAATATTTTAAAATGACACCAAACATTCCTTCCACAGCACTCTCTACTTCTCATCTGAGTTTGATAATTCATTGCAATGACCAACCAGAACTCAGATACCATACATACAGTTATGGGGTTTATTAAAGAAGTTGCTGTTGTTGTTAAGAGTTCAGTTGGTTCTGGCACATAGCAACACTGTATAGGATTTCTGAGCTGGTGGTTTTGACTCACCAACATTGTGGTTAGTAATCCAGTGTTTATCCTACGGCACCACACCAGGACTCCCTTAAGGAAGTTAACAGGTTACAATTCAAGGTTAGAGATTCTCAGAGCCCAGTTCTTCCAGTCAGGACAGCCTCAACCATGCCCACAGGAAGCCCTCTCTCTAACTGGGCAATGTTACAAAGCTCTTTTGTTGTTGTTGTTGTTAAGTGCCATGGAGTCAGTTTCAACTCATAGCAACCCTGCCTAGAATTTCCAAAGAGAGGCTGGTGGGTTTGAATCACCAACATTTTGATTAGCAGTCCAGTGTTTATCCTACAGCACCACACCAGGACTTGTAGGACTGCAGAAAAATGTTAAAGGGCACTCCATTCTGCTATAAGGCTCAGTCAAAGGCACTAAGAGATGCCTCCATGGATCAGCAAACCTAGTTCCCTAATTAAGTGCCTGGAGACACCCCATTCCACAAGTAAGCCTACTGCCCAAAGGTACTCAGCTTTATTTGCTCCTTGGAAACCCTAATACAGGGTCACTATGAGTTGGAACCAACTCGACAGCACTTAACAACAACAACAATGGCTAATATGGGGTAAGCACTGGACTGTAAACCCCAAAGCTGGTGGTTGAAGCTCATCAGTCTCTTAGCAGGCAAAAGATGAGACTTTCTGCTCGCACAAAGATTTACAGCCTCAGAAACCCTAGAGTCACTAAGAGTCAGAACCAACTCAATGGCACTCAATGACAATAATGGCTAATGCTTCAGAACATTTCTTCTTGAGTTTGTTGGCCACCTGAATGTTTTTTACCCAAATTTTAATTGGATTACTTATTTTATTTGTTGCTGATGTGTTGAAATTTTCTATGTATATTTTTATTGCATTATTTATATCTGTGTTGCTGAGATGTTGAAGTTTTCTGTATAGTTTGCCCACTTTTTGACTGAGTTATTTTTCTGTTTGTTGTGAGATTCTGATATTTTCTATATACTTTAGACATTAGTTCCTTGTCTAAGATGTTTGTGGCCAAAAAATTGTTTCCAGGCTGTCACTTCTCTTCTTACTCTTTTGGTGAAATCTTTTGATGAACATCAGTGTCAATTATAAGGAGATACCAGTAGTCCTGGTGTGGTACCATGGGATAATACACTGGACCACAAGATCAGTGGTTCAAATTTACCAGCTGCTCCTCCAAAATTCTAAGGTTACTATGAATCACTACAGACTTGAAAGCACTTAAAAACAATAACAACCAATTATCTAGTTTGTCTTCTGCTGTTTGTTTTCAGTTATGCTTTATAGTGTCTTTTTGCCATACATTAGGGTCCCTAAGTTGTCCCTATTTATTCTTTGATGGTCTTTATAATTATATGTTTTGTATTTAGGTTTGATTTTTCTGGAGCTTCTTTTAAGTATGATGTGAGATATTGGTTCTGTTTCACTTTTGTGCAAATAGATAACCAATTTTGCCAAGACCATTTGTTAAAGATACTGTCTCTTCCTTATTTACATAGTTTCTGCCCATTATTAAAAATGAACTGTCCACAGATAGATGGAGTCACTTCTGGATTCTAAATTCTGTTGCATTGATCTATGTGTTTGCCCTTGTACGAGTATCAACCTGTTTTCACTACCATGACTGTGTGGTAGGTCTTGAAGTCAGGAAGTGTGAGGTCTCCTCCATTTTCCTTCATTAGTTTCCTTTAGTTGTCTTCTTTGCTTATCCAGAATCTCTTTCCTTTTCATATAAAGTTGATGATTATTTTTGCCATTGCTTTAAACAACAATGTTGGAATCTGAATCGAGATTACCTTATATCTGTAAATAGCTTTGGATACTATTAATATTTTCACAATATTAAGTCTTCCTCTCTATGAGGATAGTATAGCCTTCCATTTGTGGAGGTCTCTTGATTTTCCTGATTTAGTGATTTCTAGTTTTCTTTATATATATCTTTGTATATCTGGTTAGATTTATTCATAAGTAGTTGATCTTTGGTTGTCTATAGTACATGGCATTTTTTCCCTGAATTCTTTTCAGAGTTCTCATTGCTAGATATTTTACATAGATGTTTTATTTGTTTTGTCATAGGCTATAGACAGATTCTACCACTTGTCAGTTATTTTGCCATTCTGTGATAGCTGTGTGTGGCTGGAAGCTATGCCACTGGTATTTTAAAAAGAAGCAATGTCACTCATAGTGGACAGGTTTCAGTAGAACTTCCAGAATAAGGCAGACAAAAAAGGAGAGGTGGACCACTTCTGAATGGTTACTCACTGAAAACTGTATACATAACAGCAGAGCATGCCAGATATTGTGCTAGAAGATGAGTCCCTCAGGCTAGAAGGCACAA